TACAACACCTCAACAGGGGTCAGAAAGACCACGATGATGACTGGGCAGCCATGTCCACCACTTGTATACCCAGCGGGAGGGTTAGCGCATCTATCGGCAGGAAACCGCCAGCGCAGTAATGTACATTAAAAGCACGTATGAAAGGAGCTGGCAAACAGATATAACAAAGCCCGTTTGAAATTCTGTTAGCAGGGCTGCCTGGGTTTGGTTACACATTGCGCAAGTTGATATTTAATTAAGAAATTACGCGCTGAATCGGCATGAGGAAATTCACCTCGAGACCAACCTCATTCTTTCTCCCCGCTCAGCCAAAATGCCCCTGTAGTAGGTTGGCTTGAAACCTGTCGGATGTAGCCGTTGACATAATTTAAGACCATTGTCTTACGAGCGTCACTCACCCATTTTACTCTTGTCTAGGTCTACTTCAGCGGTTCAGTCGGTTTTTTTTCGGGGTGGAGGATACGGAAATTTGGTCGTTATAATCAATGGCATCTATCTTCACTAGGCCGTGTTTGTGGATGGATGGACGTGCGTAATTATTCACCGTACTAACGACACAGGTAGAAGCTGAAAGCCCAGACACGCGTGTTTTGCCAATCTTGTGCCGCGGCCTGACGCAACTGCGAGGGGTTTGGCTCATTAGCGATTCCCGCAGCCTTCTCCGTGGGCTTTTTGGTATATGAACTCCAGTTTCAACTTAGGGAAAGCTGGGGAACCCACTAATGAGCCGAATCCCTCACAGCTGCGTCAGGCAGCGGCACAAGATCGTCGAAACACGCGTGTCTGGGCTTTTAACTAATACCTGTGCTGTTAGTACGGTAAATAATTACACAATTCTGTACTACTGGCTGCCTGTTGACGGTTTGTGAATATTACGTGATTATACCGCAGTAGACGATGGATTTCGGCTCAAATATCTATATCAGATTTTGGACTGTGCCTGGAAAAGTCTGTTCCGAAAGATTTACTCCAAAATCGCTCATTAATTTCCTCGGCAAGTAAACAAGGCATGGATGGACGTCTTGGCTGATGAGTCTTTTCTTAATTTCGAGTTCGCGATAAAATAATGGATAGCTCTGAGCGTTAATGCAGGAAAAATGTCGTTGAGGG